TCGAACAACAGTAAGGAAGGGGCAGTTTTACGACAGCTGAAGTCACGTGACGCTGGAAGCATTCGCGCTGGAGTTTCTAGAAGGATCATGACTGTTCCTGGCTACTCCAGTCTTTTCTAGGTACCTTCTATTTTAGTATATAAGCCCGGCAAATAAAGCGGATATATAATTGCAGGTAGACAGATATAGAGATAGATAATTGAGTGAAGCGAGCTGTAGGCACCATAAGTAATGTTCGTGAATCGTTGTGAATTATAGCGTGTGTTTATAAAAGTAGTTAACTTCAAAGTGAATGTGGAAATTAAGTGTATTACAAAGTTTGTAAATAGAAAGAATAAACTAGTTTTAATTAAGAAAGAGCTCGTATCGCTGAAGTTTCCCGGAAAGAAATTTTACGGGAAATTAGCAAACGACTAGAGACGTAACACAATTTTAATTTTCAAATATTTCTCTAATGTATCTGCTTACAAATACTATACCCATTTAGAATATGTTAAAATTACGAAAGTTATTTTCAATTATTTTTTTTTTATAGTTAATCGCAAAGTTACGCAATGAGCTGTTTGTGCTGTACCCACCACAGGTATCGAAACCCAGTTTTTAGTGTTATAAGCCTCCAAACTTACCGACAAACTTAAGTGTTAAGTCTGAAGACTTAGCCCCCAGTGGCACAGAGATATGTCTGCGGACTTACCACGCTAGAATCCGGGTTTCGATACCCTTGGTGGATAGAGCACAGCTAGCCCATTGCGTAGCTTTGTGCTTAATTACAACAAACTGAAGGCTTATAATATAAGGCTGAAAATCAGGTTTCAGTATCCGTAGTGGGCTGAGCACAGATAGTTGTGTAGCTTTGTGCTTTACAAAAAATAATGTTTCATTATTCTTTATATTTCGGTGAGGAAATTAGAATGTTAAGATAATAATAATAATAATTGATCTTAGGATTATTGATACTGTTTTACTTTATGTATACTTTTTGGTTAACTGATTGCGATAATTCATGCATAACGTTAGTCGCGCTGATATTAAATGGTGTTAATGGGTATTATTTTCAATATATGGTACACAAAAGCTATATATCTTTCGTATATTTACATCAATAACTACAACTATATACTATTAAATCATACTATCAAGCTGAACGTATTATTAATTTACAGTATTATTTGTCCTTAGACTTGCAGTTGTACTGTTAGTATTGCTCACTTGATTAGCGTTAATCTAGGTGTCAGGGGAAGTTCTGAGCAGAAGAAAGCGTAGATTGTAATTTTTTAAACGAAGTTCATTGGTAGTAAGATACACCAACTAAAGTAACCGTAGTATTTCAGTTCGTCTACTAACGACAACGTTTATGTCCATAACACGTTTATAGTAATACTAATAATAGTACATTAACTGTAGCAATTATTATTGGTTTTACAAACGTACGATTGAAACAGACGATAATGGTACTAAGAGTGCTTTGTATTGTGGATAGTTTAGTGCCAGTTAAACACAATAGTTAATTTACTTGATATGGTGTCAGCAGTAATTCTTGGCGTTAGGACTACATGCAACTGTTTTTAATTCTGTGGGATTGCAGTTACTTAAATCGGACAATGGGACATTCAACATATTTTTAATTTTAACTATTTTTTTTTAAATTTTGTAAGGCAAACCAAAATTATAGTCTAATTTAGTAATTACTTATACTAACTATATTGTACTGTGTGTACAGCTTTTCAATATTATTTAATTTAATGTTACATAATCTGGTACTCAAAGTCAAATCAGGGTAAATTTATGCTGAATTAATTCTGTAAACTAAGACTGTATAGTAATACTGATAGAAAAGTTTATGAATAGCTCTAGGAATAATGGACTCCAAGAAGAGCCCAAACAGGTAAGCAAGATATATTAAAAGCTGAACTTACTTTAAAGTTACCAACAAGCCATCTTTGATTAAAGAAATTAATTTATTGGGAAACTAATGTAAAGGGAAAAGTGTTTGTGATGCTTGGGATTTTCTTATTATGTGTACTTTTAAATATCATAATTTGTTTATTTATAAGATTAATAGCTTATATATTTTTATGTTTAAACTGGAGATTTAAATGTTTAAGCAGTTTTTAATAAATGATAAGTATAGTTTTCAAGAATATGAACATCATTGGTAAAATGGAATATGTAGAATACTAGAAAAAGTTTTTAGTATGTAAATGTAATGTTATTTCAAAAATAAAGGGTTTTAAGTTTTATATGCTATGCTAATAACCGGAACACAATAACAGATTGGACATTTTATAGGTCCAAATGAGAACCTTGCTGTTGAGGAGGAAGACAGTAATTTTAATGGAGCTTAAGACAAGGATTGATAAATATTTAAATGACAAGGGCTGGCTTTAAATTTATTTTAATTTTATTAATAATATTATTTCCAGTTTAGTGGATGAAACAACTTTGATGAATCAACAGGGTCCCTAAGTGTTGTGAAATATGTTACTTTGCTTATGTGTTAAAACAGTTATACTATTACTACTGTTTTTAATAAATATTATGATAATTAAATGTGTAAGCTCTATTTGAATGGCATTATTATTAAAGAAAATCATATTTTAGAAAACTTATAGATCTTACTGATTGTAAAACTCCTGGTTCTGATGAGATTTATACTAAGATTTTAAAGAAGCTAGGTAATGAGCTAGAATGGATTTTAACAGAAATCTTCAAGAAAGCTAGACTCGGAAAATTATAGGCCAGTTAGACTGGCTTCTGTTGTTGGTCAGTTATTGTAATCTATTAATATTCACTTAAAGTAAAGAAACAGCTGGAAGGTTGAAATTTGATTAAAAAGTCACAGTAGAGATTGGTTGTCATATCTCACTAATATGTTGAAGTTTTATGATGGGTCTTTTGCTAATTGGATGAGGGTACTTTTGTTGATGATGCTTATCTAAACTTCCAGAAGGTTTTTAATAATGTATTTCACAATAAGTTAATTACTAAGTTATTTTCTCATGGAATTGGAGAAAAGGCTCAAATGGTGAATTAGAAATTGACTTGGGAAGGTACAAAACAGGGTTAGGATGAAAGGGACCACCCAGATTTGGGACAGACAGTTAGGCACTTGTATTGTGATGTTAGAAGTGAAGTGTTCGGCAGGCAGCTTTAGAGAAACTAAAATCATTTCAAGTTCAGGGAAAGTATGGTTGCAAAGCTGAACCTTGAAGGAATTGGTGGAAGGGCACTATCAAGAGTGGAAGTTGTGGTTTAATTTGAATGAGAAAGGCAAGGTTTTGAAAAATGCTTGGAATGGTTTTCTTAACCAATTGATAAGGGAAACTACTAGGATCACTTCTATTCTAGACTTATTGTTAACTTCCAATACAGAAATGATAGAGAGGGTAGAGAATTGCTCAATTAATTTTCATGTTTTACTGCATATGGAAATTTTTGTTACAAGTTTCAAAAATCCAAATTTTGAAGTGATGCAACAAGAATTATCTTTTGTGAATTTGACAAGGTATTCTACTGTAGCACTACAATGTTTTTGGTCAACTGCTGGAAATGCTTTTTTTTTGTCATTCAGAATTTATGTAGCATGCTGGAGGGATTTACACATTTTGATAATAAAGTTAAAAAAAATTACTTTTACACTCCAGATGATTATAAGAGAAGTTTCATTTTAATCGACATTTCGCCTTTGTGGTTTCTACAGGGCTAGTACATAAGTTCATATTAGAATATTTGTTAAATTATAGAGCTGCTTGTGATGTTATATTTCTTGAGTCAGCATTAACATGCCTCTAACAATGTGCAGAATATTATTATTGTTTCATTATTGTTCTAATATTATAAAATATCAATGATCATAAAACATTTTGTGATTCTCTTTATTTTTATATATTATATATAAATATTATTTGTCATATGTTAGTACAGCTATATAGTTAGCATTGCAACTATACTATAATATAAGGACAATAGTGAAATAATAATAATATTCCATACATTATTAGAGGCACTTTGCAGTAGACTCAAGAAATATAACATCACAGGCAAGTTTTATAATTTAACAAATATTCTAATATAAAACAGTTTTATGTACTAGCCCTGTAGAAGCTGCAAAGGCAAAATGTAATTTAAAATACAAGTTCTATTATAATTATCTGGAGTGTAAAGGTCACTTTTTTTATAACTTTATTATCAAAATGTGATTTGGACAACTAAATTACTTGAAAATACTGCTCCGAGTGGAAGCCCTATTGTTCAGGAGGAATATGATAATTTTTAAGGAGTTGAAGACAAGGATTGATTAATATTCAGATGAAAAGGAGTGGCTTAAAGTGTCTTTTGTTCAACTTTAGATTTTTAAGTTCAAGCTTTTTTCATGCTTTGAAGTTTTATTTAATTGTTTTAAGTTTATAAATAGGTGTTTCTTTGTTTTTTTATTTGGTACATGTACTGTAAAATAGGAAATGCTAGTACCAGTTGGGAATTAAACTTCTTCATGTTAAAGAATTTACAAAAAATGAAACTTTTGTATACTGTTTTATTTACCAAATTATTAGCACAGCTGGTTAGTATCATTAAAAGAAAACTAAATTTTATTTTAATTTCTCAGAAAAGTTTATTTTTGAACTTTAAGGTGCTAAAATGTTAACAAAAAATTTATGGCACTAATCTCCCAATCAACTTCCATACTTAGGAGATCCAAACGAAAACCTAAAGGCACTGAAGAGAATTACTGGGACTGTAGTGTTTGTACTTACCAGAATTCTCCAGAAGCATTTAAGTGTTTGATGTGTGATGTGAGGAAAGGGACTTCTACTCGGTGAGTTTCTAATCTTTTTTGTAAAATAGGTTGAAAAGATGATAAATATTATTTGTATGATGTTTTATTAAGAGCAGAAAATACTTTTCACAACTAATCATTAGTTACATAGATAAAACACTGCATACTCCAAACTGTAGCTATTTGTTTTATTATTATAATAAGTTGTACATTTTGATTATAAATTATGAGACATTAAGGAGCATTATAGTCTTTAAATGTTAAGGACTTTCAACCTCTTTCAATAAATAGAAAATTAATCACTAACTTGAGCCATGATTTCTCAAATAATCATAAAATCTTTCTTAATCTCCTGTAAAGTTGCTGTCTCTACCATTTTAGATAACATTTATTCCATGATTACCACTTATTTATTTGGCAAAGTTATCAAAAAAATCATTTCATCACGTTTTGGAAGTTATTCTTACAAATGAATTTGTAGTTTTTTGATTAAAAGAAACTAACTAAATGTAAATGAATTTATTTTATACATAACTAGCTGAGTTACCCGGCATTGCACGGTGAAAATTTAGATTTGAAATGTATAAATCAGTATTTTTTTCAGCAGATTATTCAGTAAGTAGACAAAAGCTGTGATGCGAGAAATAAAAAAGCATTTAATCAAACAAAGCTTTATTTGAAATTAGATCGTGTTTGAGCTTGTCTTGTTCTTTGAGCCTGAAGTCTTACATCATGTTGCTCCTCTGTTTCTTGCTCTCTGTAAGTTATTTATCTTAATCTTTGTGCTTGAAGTCTGGTTTGACGTTGTTCAGAAGTTTCTTGTTGTCTGTATTCAACTTGCCTTGATGATTCTGACTGAACTCAGTCTTTATGCTGTTCAACAGTTTCTTGCTGTCTTTCAGTAGCCTGCCTTTCAGCTTGAGCTCGAAGTCTAACTTTACGTTGTTCCAAAGTCTCTTCCTGTATTTGAGCAGCCTGTCTTGCAGCTTGTGCTTGAAGTCTTTGATTGCGTTCGTCTGTTTCAACTGCTCTTTGTGCTTGCATTCTTTTAGCGGCAGAAGACTTTCCATAGAAATGGCGTTTCTTGGGTGGCATAATCACCTGTATTACTAAACAATAATTTGCAATTCACAAAGTTACTAAATCACTTATGAAACCACTTAGCAATATTTAATGAAAACTGTTTTTGGAAATACTGAATTGACAGCAAGGTGATCTGAGTGTCTCCCGCCATAACGCCTTCTATGTGCAAAACGTGTTTATGTTTGTATGTTTATTAAGAAAAAATGGCGCAATAATCATTAATTGTCATTGTCGTTATTAAATACTACACCAAATACAAAAAATAGCACCATTAAATTTCTTGTAAAAACTAGTTATTATGAAGTTATT